TGTGGCGTCATTGTAGCTCACAGCAACCTCAAACTCCTGGGCTCAAGCGATCCTTCTGCCTCAGCCTCCCAAGTAGCTGGGACTACAGGCATGCACCACCATGCCCGGCTAATTTTTTCTATATATTTTTAGTTGTCCAAGTAATTTCTTTCTATTTTTAGTAGAGATGGGGTCTCACTCTTGCTCAGGCTGGTGTCGAACTCCTGAGCTCAAGCAATCCTCCCGCCTCAGCCTCCCAGAGTGCTAGGATTACAGGCATGAGCCACTGTGCTTGGCCTGTTTGCTTTTTTTCTGTTCTTTTAGTTGTCTGTTTCCTTCAGGATTTTTGTTTGTTTGGGACATTGTCTTTTATAATGGAGGCTCTAATCAAATAGCTGGTGATACTTGGCTGGCTGTTTGCATTTAAGAGTGAGGCCTTAAAATATTAATTGGCAGTTCAGCCTCAGTGGGTTTACTGATTCTGGATTCTTTGCTGGTGATTGTACGTGTGTGGTGGGGGAAGGTGTGTCTCTTGAGTTCTTTACTCTGAGGCTGTTCAGTTTCTCCAGAGAATTATCTCCAAATCTCCTGCCTCTCGGCTGGCCTTCTGGAAACAGGTGTAGAAAGGTGGCCATTAAGAATGCAGATTTACATAGAATGTTCCTGCTTCCATCCCTCTGCCACCACCACTGTGCCTGGTATCTCCAGGTTCAGAGCTTTTATGGGTTCATTTCCTCCTGGGAAAAAAACCCCAGTCTTCTGGTAGAGAAAGATAGAAGTTTTTGGTAGAATGAGGATGTTTACCAGTTTTGTGTCCAGGTGTTTAACCAAACCCTGATTTTAGCCATGCACCTTACCCCATCTCTGCCTCCTGCAGTATCTTGCATCTTCCGGAGTGAGCCTTTCCGGGCTTGCGTGAAGCAGATAAGCTTTGTGTCTCATCAGGTTCCCCTCTGTGGTCACTCGGGATGTAGCTTCCTTCACCTTGCTAAGTGAGTGGTCACTCCGATCTGCTTTCTGTCTTCTAAGACTTTATTGAGTTTGCTCTTCTCTTGTTGTCTTTTCTCCCATTATCTTTGTTCTTTCTTTCATTTGTTTGTTCAATAAGTACTGTTGCACCCCTGCAAGTACTAGGCACTATTCTAGATGCTTAGGATATAATAATGAAACTACCCCTTATCTTATGGAACTTAAATTTTAGTTGAGGGAAGGATTTTTTTGAAAAAATAAACATAATAAATAAGTAAATTATATGGTATGTTAGAAAGTGATAAGTGCCATGGGAAAAATACAGTGGAGCAAGGAGAATAAGAAGTTCTGGGAGCTGGGGAAAGTGCGGGTTACAGTTTTAAATAGGGTCAAGGTAGTCATCATTGAGAAAATGATATTTGAATAAAGCAGTGATTCTCAACTGAGGACAGTTTTGTCCTGGAGGGAACATTTGGCAGTGTCTGGAGACATTTTAGGTTGTCACCACTGGGGCATGGTTGGGTGACGCTATTGGTATCTAGTGGGTAGAGAGGCCAGGGATGCTGTTAAACATCCTGCATGGCTCAGCATGGTGGCGCATGCCTGTAGTCCCAGCTACTGGGGAGGCTGAGGCAGGAGGATCTCTTGAGCCCAGGAGTTTGATGCTATAGTGTGCTATGATTGCACCTGTGAATAGCCATTGCACTCCAGCCTGGGCAACATAGCGAGGACCTGTCTCAAAAAAAAATAAAAATAAAAAAACCAATGCCCCCGCCCCCCACCATACAACATCCTACAATGCATGGGGCAGCTCCCTACAACAAAGAATTAGGTGCCTCAAAATGTCACTAGTGCTGAGGTTGATAAACACTGGAATAAAGACTTAAAGAAAGTGAGCGTTAGCTATGCAGAGGCCTGAGGGAAGAGCATTCTGGACAGAAAGAACAGTTATTGCAAAGACCCCAAGATGAGAGTGCGGCTGGCTTTTTGGAAGAACTGACAGTAGGCCCCAATGAATGAGGGGAAGAGGTGAGAATTAATGAGGGCCAGATCATGTAGTGCTTTGGGGTCATTGTTAGGACTTTGGCTTTTATTTTGAATGAAATGGGGAGCCATTGGAGGTTTTGACTGGGGGGAGGAATGCCATGACGTGATATGATTTAGGTTTTTAACAAGATCACTCTGGTTGCTGTGTTGATAATGGATTATGGGCGGGGGAGGGTAGAAGCAGGGAGACCAGTTAGAATACTGTTGCAGTAACCTAAGTGAGAGATGATATAGACCAGTGGTAGCAGTGGAGATGGATATACCTTGAAGATAGAACAACAGGATTTCTTGATGGATTCAATGAGAGGTATTAAGAGAAACAGAGGAGTGAAAAATGGCTCCAGGTGTTTGGGTAGAGCTAGTGGAAGGATGGAGTTACTATCAACGGAGGTGGGAAAGACTGTGGTAGAGCAGATTTGGGTAGGGGAGATTTGTAGTTCAATTTTGAACATGTTGCATTTGAGATGCCTATTAGACATCTGAGTGGATATGTTAAGTAGGTAGTTGGATATATTAGTCTGGGGTTCAAGAGAGAGAAATCCAGGAGTTGTTAGCATGTAGATGTTATTTAAAATCGGGAGACTGGGCAGAGATCACCAAGAGAGTGGAGAGTAGATAGAAAAGAGAAGAGGAACAGGGTCTGAGCCCTGGGGCATTCCCATTTTAAGAAGTTTGGGAAAAGAGGAAGAACCAGTAAAAGAGACTGAGAAGGAACAGCCAGTGAGGTGTAGGAAACAGGAGAGTGTGGGGTCCTGGGAGCCAAGGAAAGAAAGTGAACCAACGAGGGATGGCTCATCATCTGTGCCCGATGCCACTGATAGGTCGAGTAAGGGAGGACTGAGAATTGACCATTGGACTTCAGAACAAGGTTGAGGGTGACCCTAATGTGAACTGTTTGGGTGGAGTAGTGAGGACCCGATTCAAGTGGGTGAATAGGAGAAGAATGGGAGGCAGTGAATAGGTACAGTTCTTGCGAGGAGTTTTGCTACAAAGAGGAGCAGAGAAATGGAGCAGTAGCTAGTAGGGAATGTGGGGTTGAGAAGGTTCCTTTTTTTTTTGTTTTTTCTTGAAATGGGACAGTAAGAACATGCTTGTATATTGATGAGAATAATCCAGTACTGGGAGAGGGAAGTAAAAGGAGAGAGAGAAGGGAGAATTGTTGGGAACGATGAGCTTAAGTAAATAAGCTCATGCTTTTTAAATTTTATTTTATTTTAGTAGGATTTTTAGGAGGAATATTCTGGTATTTTAACTAGAAAGTCCCTTCAATCTTAGGCCTTCCCATATAAGAAGAGGAGTTTCGGTCTCCATTTTACAATAAAGAAACCAAGGTCCTGGAAGCCATATTTCATATTTACCCATTATCTTCGAGGTCAGGCTCACCTGTTTAATTACCATCCTTCCAGAACCTCTATTAAATTTGAATCTTGCTTCCAAGAAGCATTTCTTTCTAACCAGCCCGTAAATAACAGTCAAACCAGTCTTTCTTTAAATCACAAACCTTAAAATTTGAAAACTAGCCGGGTGCGATGGCTCACACCTGTAATCCCAGCAATTTGGGAGGCTGAGGTGGGAGAATCGCATGAGCCCAGGAGTTTGATATCCTAGCCAGTATACTGAGACCATGTCTCTACAAAAAAATTTAAAAAATCAGCCAGGTGTCATGGTACGCGCCTGTAGTCCTAGCTACTCAGGAGGATGTGGCAGGAGGATCGCTTGACCTCAGGAATTTGAGGTTACAGTGAGCTATGATTGCACCACTGCACTCCAGCCTGGGTGACAGAGTGAGACTCTACCCCCCCCAAAAAATTGTTTTTGAAAACTATGTTCACTATAAATCAAGTATATCTTATATTGCATTTATATGAAATTACACTGAAAGTGATCAAGTGCAGCCTTAATTGATTTAACCCTATCGGATAGCATTGTTTTTTTTTTGGTATAACTCCTCCTTCCCTGCATAATTTGGGGTTTGTTTAAAAATATGGTGGACCTAGACTGCATGCATTATGAAAACAAAAGGACCTAGTAAATCAGACAGTGTGTCCTGTTGTGGTAGCAACTGGCTTTTGTTTGAAAAGTTTGGCTTTAAGGATTTTTGAGATCCCAAAAACTAAATCAGGATTACATTTGACTTTTATTCACCAGGAAGAAATGGAAGATCTAAGGTATAATATAGTTGGCACCTGGTTATATGAAGAAATATAGAAATGATAGGCTAACATTAGGAAGTTATAAGTAAGAATGCAATCATAGCAGCTTAGTAATACATTAAGAATTGCTGCCAGGAAGAATTCACAGAAATGGAAGATTATTATATTCTATACTGTATATAGAATAAACTGAGATTCCATATATGAATATTTTTCCTGTTCATTCATTCATACCTTCTTTTAATAATATTTCTTGAGCATGTAGTATGTGCCAGACTAATGATACAACTCTAAGCCTTCATGGAACTTACAGTTTGGAATATTATTCAATGGATAGCATCCTCTGGAAGGTCACAGGGCAGGGACCATGTTTTTTATACCACTGTATTAGTCTGCTAGGGCTGCTATAACGAAATACCACAGACTGGGTAGCTTAAACAGCAGATATTTATTTCATCACTGGAGGCTAGAAGTCTAAGATTAGGGTCTTGGCAGGTTTGGTTTCTTCTGAGGCCTCTCTCCTTGTCTTACAGATGGACTCTTTCTGTGTCCTCACACTGTGGTCTTTTCTCTTTGTATACCCATCCCTGGTGTCTCTCTGTGTGTCCAAATTTCCTCTTATGACACCAGTCAGATTGGATTAAGGCCTGCCTTAACGTCCTCATTTTAACTTAATCACTTCTTGAAAAGGCTTATCTCTAAATATGGTCACATTCTGAGGTACTAGGGGTTAAGGCTTACATATATGGATTTTGGGAGGATACAGTACAGCTCAAAACAGTCACCTAGCATGAATAATCAGCTGTGGAACTTGTTAGTTTTCCCTGTGTAATAATATCGTTTTCTTCCCAGTACTATGAAATATTCCTTCGACAGTCTCCGTTGGAACCCTGCCTTCTGTTTCATGAAGGTGGATACTGGCGTGAGCTCACAGTTCGCACCAATAGCCAAGGGCACACGATGGCTATCATCACCTTCCATCCCCAGGAATTAAGTCAGGTGAGCCTCACAGGATGATAGGGGCAGCTACTGTAGCAACCCTAACTGTTACTATGCTGCTGTTGGTTTTTGGAAGTTTCAGGACATATAGCAGGAGCTACACATCCACAGAATATTTATGTTGATTGCGGAGAGGGGTTGGGGATGAGGAGGGGAAGATGGCAAGGATAATATTCAACCATAATTCTGGCATAATCAAACCGCAGAGACTGTGGCTAGTTACCAAATTAATTGTCATATGAGGACTCCCAAGTATTTTCCACGAGAAGTTTGTTCATGCCATTAGGTACTCTACTGAATCCAAAAGCCAATTCAATAGAGACTAGAATGTCAGAAACTCATAACCCAAATAATACTTTACATTTGTAGCATACTTAGAGTTTTCAAACATTCACGTGTTAAAATATTCCTACACTTACAGGATCACCTCAATCAACTTGTGAAGCAGGCAGGAGAAGGAGAGATATTGTTACCCTCATTTTACAGATGAGCAAATGGAGGCATAGAAATACCCAAGGTTGAAGACTCAGTAAATAGCAAAGCTAGGATTTGAACCCAGGTCCTTTGATTCCTGACCTGGCATTTTTAATTCTATAACTCTAACATGGCTTATTGCGATATATCCTTGTATCAGGCTAATGCTTAGGCTCTCTATAGTGATGTAAGAATTTCATAATGTTCTGAACTAAAAAAAAAAGATTTCACTACCATGCTCATTCTCTTCTGTGTCCCCTCTTTTCTTTCTCCTAGGACTCACGTCTTCTGAGGTGGCGTTTGGGTGGGTGGTTGGGATGTCTGAGGTAGAGAAGTACGAAGAGAACTGAAAGGTTATTGCCTCTTCATGATGGGACAAAAGCTTAGTTTAGCTCCTTGTTTACAATAATAATAACACACACTTTCTTTAAAGAATTATTAGAGGCTCAAACTAGAGGAAGTGCCAATTCTGTTGTGTAGGATTTGTCAAAAGCCGATAAGCAAAGCAGTGCTTCTACTGAGATGTGAAAATAGTGTGGGTTTTTTTTTTTGTCCTATAGAACCTTGCTTTATGTTAAGTGTTGTTTTTAATAGGATTTGAGAAATGTGTCTTCTTGTCTGACTGCTGCAGGGCTGATTACTGTAGAGTTTGGAGAAAAAATTTCTCAGAGATGAGTCTTTGCTTGATTGCTGATTTTGTGGTCTGGGCAGGAGGAGCTCTGTGTTCAGAAGGAGACTTTAAAGGAATTTTTCATCAAAGGCCCTGGAGCAGCCTGTGACTTGACCTCACTTTACTTCCAGGAAAGGTAAACCTGGGACAGCCAAACAGCAAATAGGAGCCTGATGGCTTGCCAGAGTCTTGGTTTATGGATTGCTGATGCAGAGTTGCTGATTGATAGTAGAGGATCTGGGCTTAGTGGTTCTGGCCCTTGTACACCAGCCAGGTCTGGAAATCCAGGCCAGAATGTAGATGAGAGAGTGTCTGCATGAACTTCCATCCCCCGAGGGAAAACTCCTACAGAGCTCTCAGGGCCATGGCAAGGAGGCTGTGTCTCCTAGCTGAGATGCTAGGGCCTCCCCTTCCAACCAACCACTAGACATGGAATGGTCTGCCATTCCAAGATGCTTTCTGCTTTTATTCTTTTCCAGCACCATGACCCGTTGCAGCCATCAGCAGTCCCCCTACCAGCTCCTATTTGGGGAACCCCACATCTTTGAAGATCTCCTAGGCTTGAAGGTCCGCATCTCTCCAGATGCCTTTTTCCAGATTAACACTGCTGGTGCAGAGATGCTGTATCAGACTGTGGGGGAGCTGAGTGGCGTGAACTCTGACACTGTCCTCCTTGACATCTGCTGTGGAACTGGCAAGTAGTAGCCCAGGGCCAAATTTGCAAGCTGCTTAGCTCCCAGGGCCCTTGAAGCTTGCAAGGGTAGGTAGGGGGAGGTAGTGGTAGTGATGCAGACATAACCTTGTTGGTTTAAAACCCTAAAATACCTTCCTCTTATTCTCTCTTACCTCCCTAGGTGTGATTGGCCTCTCTCTGGCTCAGCATACATCCCAGGTCCTTGGGATTGAATTGGTGGAGCAGGCAGTAGAGGATGCCAGGTGGACTGCAGCCTTCAATGGTACACAGCTCACAGTCTGGGGAGAAATTAAGGGGTGCAATTGTTTCTGTGCTATGGAAAGGATTGTGTGGGAAGGGGCAACTGTTATATCTCTGACCTGCAGGGAGAAAGAGAGGGGATTCTGGAGTGGTCAGAGTTGGGTCTTGATGGTTTTCTGGAAAAGGTCCCAATATCTAATATTTTTTTAATTTCCTATCCAGAAGAGGAGTCTGAAGGAAGGAACAAGGCTAGGTAATAGGAAGGGCAGTGGCAAAACTTTAGACAGAATAGAAGAGCCTTCTTGACATTAAACTCATGAGACATCATAGCATAATACAATAGGTTTCAAACCTATATTTTTAGCAACAAAACCTTTTCTTCAAACAAGATCTTACGCCAAACTGCAATATAGAAAACAGATCATCTTGTCCCCTCTACTCCACCTCCAGACAGCTCCTGAGGCAATGTGTGAAAACGCCTGATATATCAGGAAGAGCACTTGAGTAAAAGTCAAGGTTCTTATCTTGGTATGGGTATTTATGTGCCATGTGAGTTTTTATTAATAATTTATAAAATAACACTATCTGGTCACTCAATCTGAAAGGCTTACTGAGATATTTCAAGGGAAAGTACTTTGGAAAAAATAAAGTACATCCAAGAGCATTTCTTTCATTGTTATTTTGAGGTATGCCAGATCCAAAGGGAACGTGGCAGAGCCCTGGCTCCTGTACATTTCTCTAAGCTAAAGCTTCCCCCCCAACTGCCGGCCTTGAGGTATGTCACATGAGCCTCTCTTCTGCAGGCATCACAAACTGTGAATTTCACACTGGTCGAGCAGAGACGATTTTGCCACAGCTGCTAAAGTCAAAGGAAGATGAGAAGTTAATTGCTGTGGTAAACCCAGCCCGCGCCGGACTGCGTAAGGATGACAAGCTAATTGGGTGTTTCCCATGAAGGCCACCAGCTTTGGTTCCTCATTCTCACACCATGCTAAGGGAGCTCTCAATGAGCTGGTCCTGAACTTGCTTCTTCTCTATTCCTAATCAGTCCTATGTGCTGGTCAGTGGGAATTTGTGATGACTGGGACCATCGTAGTTTAATTATGTTAATAGCAAAGTATTTTTTCCTTCAGATTACAAGGTGGTTCGAACCATTCGAAACTGCAGGGCTATCCGCACACTAGTTTTTGTTTCCTGCAAGCCCCATGGTGAAACCACAAGGAACGTCATTGAGTGAGTCTTGATTTCTTTTTTAAATTATTTTTTCCCATTATCAAAGTAACCCATGCATGCACACAATTTGGAAAATGCAGGGAAGTATAAAGAAACAGAAAAGAAAACATTATACCACCTTTAATAGTCAATTACAGGGCTGGGTCTAGGGTGAGGCAAGTCAGGTACTCAGTTTGGGTGTGAAATTTAAGAGGGTGCCAAAAATCTCAGCAATCAAGATAATTTTTTTTTTTTTGAGACAGAGTCTCGCTGTGTTGCCCCGGCTAGAGTGCCGTGGCGTCAGCCTAGCTCACAGCAACCTCAAACTCCTGGGCTCAAGCGATCCTTCTGCCTCAGCCTCCTGAGTAGCTGGGACTACAGGCATGCGCCACCATGCCCGGCTAATTTTTTCTATATATTTTTAGTTGTCCAATTAATTTCTTTCTATTTTTAGTAGAGATGGGGTCTCGCTCTTGCTCAGGCTGGTTTCGAGCTCCTGAGCTCAAACAGTCCGCCTGCCTCGGCCTCCCAGAGTGCTAGGATAACAGGCATGAGCCACCGCGCCCGGCCAGGATAAATTTTTAATGCAATATTTTCAGAAATCAAAATTGACCATCGCAATTCATGATGAACAAAATATTAATTTTTTTTTAAAAGGTGGGATCTGCACCTGTGCTTGCTGAACCCTGCCTCACTGCCTTACTCTGATTCTGGCTTTGGTTCCAGTAAATCTTTATTTATAAAAGGAGGTGGCTAGCTTATACGCGGCAGTTTCCTAATTTGATATTCTAAAATATTGTATCAAAATATTAGTTGTCTTAATTACTGAGTTTTTTGGCACCCTATTAAATTTTGCACCCAATGTGAGTGCCTCTCATTTCATTCTAGTTCTGGCCCTGGTCAGCTATTTTGATTTTTGAAATGTTTTCTTTTTTTAATCTTTCTCTTTTTAACATAAGTAATTTCTTTCTAACATTCAAACAACATAGGCAGGTATAAAGTACAGATGATATACCTGAACATAACAGGTGAGAATTAAAAGTAAATATGTGTGATTATTATTTGTCAATATATTATAAAAAAGTAAGTGAATTGAGCTTTCAAGTCAATGAGCTAGAAAAAGAACAATAAACCTAAAGGAAACTGAAGGAAGGAATCAATAATGGTAAAAAAAATCCATAAATTGGCCAGATGTGGTGGCTCACGCCTGTAATTCCAGTGCTTTGGGAGGCCGAGATGGGAAGATTGCTGGAGGCCAGGAATTTGAGACCAGCTTGGACAACATAGTGAGACTGCATCTCTAAAAACATAAAAAAACAAATAAATTAGCTGGACATGGTGGTGCACACCTGTAGTCCTAGCTACGTAGGAGGCTGAGGTGGGAGGATCGCTTGAGCGCAGGAGTTCAAGGCTGCAGTGAGCTATGATCATGCCACTGCATTCCAGCCTGGGCCACAGAGTGAGACCCTGTCTCAAAAAAAGTTTTTAATATAAGAAAAGGAAATTATAAATGCACCCTAGGAAATCAAAGAATTTCTTTATAGTCATGAAGTGCAAAAGCCCTAACAGTGAAAATTCAGAAGCCATATGATAAAAAGTTGTTAAATTTGACTACATAAAAATAACTTCTTCCATCATTACACCATACACAAAAACGAATTCAAAATGTGTCACAACTAAATGTAAGAGATGAAGCTATAAAACTCTTAGAGCAAAACATAGGAGATTTAGAGTCTTCATGACCTTAGGTTAGGCAAAGCCTTCTTAGATATGACATCAAAAGCTTAAGAACCAAAAAAACAAAAAAAAATGATGAAAATGAAAAAAAAAAACTTATGTACCACAAATGATACCATTGATAAAATGAAAAGACAAACTACAGAATAGGAAAAATATTTGCAAATCATTTATAAGGGACTGGTATCCAGAAGTCAGACACAAAAGGCCCCATATTATATGATTCCATTTATAGGAAATGTCTAGAATAGGTGAATCCATAGAAACAGAAAGTAGATTTGTGGTTGGCTAGCAGTGGTGGTGGGGGTTTGGGGAAAAACGTGGCATGATTGCTAAGGGGTGTGTGGTATCTTCTTGGGATAATGAAAAATGTTCCAAAATTGATTGTGGTGATAGATTTACAACTCTGTGAATATACTAAAAACCAATGAACTGTATAAATGGGTGAGCTGTATGGTACATGAATTATATCTCAAAACTATTGAAAAAATCAGTAATTTGTACATGATGAAAAGCACCATAAGTAAAGACAAGAGACAACATAACTGGGAAAAAATTGCAGTTCATGTCACAAAGACTCGTTTCCTTTATCTGTAACAAACTCCTGGAAATAATAAGAAAAAGTACAACAGCCCTATAGAAAAATGAGCAGATGATATAAAAAGGAAATGTTAGAAATGTGTTTATGAACCATGAGAGGATGTTGTCTCTCCCATAATAATGGAAATGCAAATTAAAAGTACCCTCAGATACTACTTTTTATATCTCAGATTGGCAAAAGTTCAAAAGTTTGATAATGCATTGTTGGCGATAATATAGGGAAATGTGAATTCTAAAAAATTACTGGTGTAAATTGAATACTAACCCTATGTAAATTGGTACTCTCCTTATGGAGGGAAATTTAGCAATATAGATTAAAATTACAAATATATACCCTTTGACTTGGTAATTCCATTCCTGAGGCTTTATCCTACAGATATACTCACACATGTAAAATGACATATATATACAAATTTATTTATTGCAGTATTTTAACAGCAAAAGGTAAAATATCCTAAAAGTCCATCAGTAGGGAACTGTTTAAATCAGCTGTGCTACATCCATAATGAAACACTGTGCTGCTATAAAAGAGTGGAGATGTTCTCTATGATAATGAAAGCTCTTTAAGGCATGCTATTTTTTAAACAGCTTTATTGAGATATAATTCATTTATTATACAATTCAACTCCCCTTTTTTTTTTTTTTTTTGAGACAGAGTCTCACTATGTTGCCCAGGTTAGAGTGCCGTGGCGTCATCCTAACTCACAGCAACTCAAACTCCTGGGCTCAAGCAATCCTCCTGCCTCAGCCTCCCGAGTAGCTGGGACTACAGGCATGTGCCACCATGCCCGGCTAATTTTTTTTATTTTTTGTAGAGATGAGATCTTGCTATTTTGCTCAGGCCGGTCTCTAATGCCTTGGGTCTAGGACACCCCATGCCTCGGCCTCCCAGAGAGCTAGGATTACAGGCGTGAGCCACCGCGCCCGGCCTCCCTTTTTTTTTAATAGAGATGAGATCTTGCTATTTTGCCCAGGCTAGCCTCAAACTCTTAGGCTCAAGCAATCCTCCCACCCCAGCCTCCTGAGTAGCTGGGACTGTAAGTGTGTACCCCTGTGCCCACCTTATTGTTTTGATTTGCATTTCCCCCGTGGCTAATGATGTTGAGCATTTTTTCATGTACTTGTTGGCCATTTTTAAATCTTTAGAGAAATGTCTGTTCAAGTCCTTTGCACATTTTTAATTGGGTTGTCTTTTTATTATATTATTGAGTTTTAAGAGTTCTTTTATATTCCGATATAAGTCCCTTATGATTTGCAAAATTTTTCTCCCTTTCTGTGGGTTGTCTTTTTACTTTCTGAATAGTATCCTTTGAAGCATAAGAGTTTTTAATTTTGAAGATGCCATCTATTTTGGGAGGGGCCTTGCGATTTTGGTTCTGAGCTATGTTACCAATGTGTAAATAGCCAGGTACAGAATTGTTTGTATAATAGTAAACTATCTTTGTAAAAATAAAAGCAGAATAATATATATTTGTATTTGCTTGTATATGCATAGAGAATCTCTGGTAAGTGACACAAGAAACCAATAATAGTTATACAAGAAACCGATAATAGTTATCTATGGTTGGGGAGAACTGGGGAGATGGGAGTCACGGGTGGGAAGGAGACTTCACTGTATACCTTTTTATGTTATTTCGTTTTGAATTAAATGAAAATACTTATATGCAAAACAAATTTAAAAAATGTAATGATTAAGGGTAAACCTAGGATTCCATTAACATTCATATTGAGTAAAACAGTAAACATGGCCTCAAAAAGCAAAGAAAATTTTATTTTGAAAAGATAGTATGTGTATATGGCAGAAAAAATTCAAATAATAGAAAAGAATATACAATGAACAATAAATTTTTCTACTTGGCTGGTTTGGATGTAAATTGGTACAACCTTTTTTAGAACACTTTGGTTATACATATTTTAGGACCTTAAAAACATATAGGCCTGGCCAGGCATGGTAGCTCATGCCTGTAATCCCAGCACTTTTGGAGGCTGAGGTGGGAGGACTGCTTCAGGCTAGGAGTTCAAGACCAGCCCAGGCAACCTACCGAGACCCCATCTCCATAAAAATGGGAAAAAAAGTAGCTGGCCATGGTGGCATGTGCCTGTGGTCTCAGCTATTCAGGAGGCTGAGGCAGGAGGGTTGCTTGAGCTCAGAAGTTTGAGGTTGCTGTGAGCTACGATGGCACCACTGCACTCCAGCCTGGGCAACAGAGCGAGACCCTGTTTCAAAAGAAGGAAAAAAAAAGTATAGGCCCTTCAACTCAGCACTTCCACTAAATAACTGAAAATGTGTACAAAGATATAACTATAATATTCATGGAGGGACTTTTTGAAATAGCAAAAAGAAACTTAAATTTTCAACTTCAAGAAATTAAATAAACTATGTTACATTTATTTAATGAAATACCATATAGCCAATAAAAGTGAGATAGCTTTACATATAATGGACAAATGCTCACGATATATTATTAACTGAAGAAATTGGTTATAAAGCAGTAATGTACAATATTTATAGTGTAACTCCATCTTTAAAAAATCAATTTTAAATAGTTGGAAAGATACATCCTGAAAAGTTAGCAGTGGTGGTCCTTCTCTGAATGGTGAGTTTATAGGTGAATTTTTATAGGTCTCATTTTTGCTTGGCTGTATTTTCTGTAATGAGCCTTTGAAATAAGGGGGAAAAAGTAATCTACTTTGAGAATTTTTAATAGAATAAATTTAAAAAATATTTAGTAATTACCCACTGTGTGCAAGTCATACAGAAAAATATATGACCTAGGCCCCTCTCTCCATTCACCAGATATATATTGAACCCCTATTCTGTGTCACATAGTGAGAACACAGAGATGAATAATGAATAGGCAGTTTTTGCCTCATTTCCACCCTCAAAAAGATTATACTGCAGTGAGGAAGTTCGTTAAGAAAAACAGTTCCATTAAATATGATAAATGCTCTATAAGAGAGAAACACAGGGGGCTGTGGGAACACAGAGGAAGGGCTTAAATTTTAAGTAATTGTATTCTTGTAGGTCCTCCTTTTGTTTTGGGGAACTGACATTATGATCTATTTCTACAGGCTGTGCTGTCCTCCAAACTCTGCTAAGAAGCTCCTAGGCAAGCCTTTTGTCCTGAGACAAGCCGTACCTGTGGATTTGTTTCCCCACACCCCACACTGTGAGCTGGTGTTCCTGTTCACTCGATAAGCAGCCTCCTAGAAGACTGCAGGCTACTTGTTAAGGCTGAAGTTTTCACAAACTTTCAGGTTTGGCATATTGCTACATTGCAGTCGCTGGGAGCATTACCAGAGAAACTAATGTTTGGATCATGAGCAGGAAGAATATAGTAGGTCTCCTGTCTGAGGCACATTTAACCTTAGTTTTCAGGTTCCCTTGTGATCCTGCTTTGTTGGCCTGGCTTCGACCACTCTCCACTCCTTGACCCTGAATCCGGACTGTTTCTTCCTTTTGCTGTTAGCCTGTCATGGTTCTCTTGGTCCTAGTTTATTTTCTTGTCTTTTCCATCTGAGTCTGTTTATGGCATGGTGACAGCTGAGCTTTTTATAGCAGCTGGTTATAATTTCACATTGACTAGAGTCTGTATTTGTTCAGAGATTTTACTATTTTTAGATGTTTTTGAGACTTCTGAGTTCATGAGGTAACCAAGGATTAGAACTAGAAACAAATTTAGGTTTTTAAAAAGCAGAGTAAGCCAGGAAGTGATTGCAGGGTGACTGAGTGATCATCAGTAGAGATTCATTCCTTTGGGTTTCCTTGGCTTTGAGGCCTCTAGAATGCCCTTCGATAATGTGGTTATCCCTAGGAGCAATAGCACCAATTAATTCTCACCCATGGAGGGAGAACTGGTTATTGGAGAGGCCCTAAGGGAAAAGAGATTTTCAAAGAAGAGACTAAACAACTATGATTGTGCTGTGTAGTATGGAGGGAGAAAGCTCCAGATTCTAATATGTAGTATTATAAAGTAGGTGTTGAAAACTGACTCTATATTCAACATTCTCTAGTCTATGATTTCTTCAACTCTGGAGTTGTTCTTGGATACTTGCCCAACAATTTAGATTATGTTTGGAAACTTTGAACGGCCTTAAAGGATGTTTAATTTTGCAAGCGTTGTCTCACTTACAAAATGATACCAGGTCTACTAGTATTTTTAATTCTTCTCAATCCCAAATACTTCTAGAGAAGCCTCCTTCTCAGGAAAATACGGCTGTTAAAGCTACTATATAATGTTTTGTATTCTTTTATGAGATGGTCAGTCAGGTGTAGCCACAGGAGAGGCTCAGAAAAACAAAGTCTATTTATACTCACAGATCCTCGAGACAGAAGGAACGCCACACCGCACAGGGTCACATGGGAAAGACACCAGAATGGTTAGGAGGCAGAAGGCGGGAACAAGGGGAAGGTTTAGGCCACTGCCTTTATTTAAGTTTCCTTGGGAAAGGCAACACAGGGCAGAGTGAACAGTTTAGGATCGGCTAGTTTGAATAATTCTTGCAGGCTCTAAGTTATAGGGGTGCTCTCTAGTTGTTTTGTTGGTTTTGTCCCTGTGATGATTAAAACACAGGAATATCGTCTCCTGGGGTGTATGGGCCTGATAGAGGAGGAATTGCTGAGCCCTTGCTGTCTCTAAGAATTGACTAGCCCAGGGAGGAGCAGCCAGAAAGATTTTTTAAGATATCAGAACAGGATAACATACAGAAATACAGGCCCGGTTGCTGGCTCACACCTATAATCCCAGCACTTTGGGAGGCTGAGACTGGAGGATTGCTTGAGGCCAGGAGTTTGAGACCACCCTGGGCAACATAGTGAGACCCTGTCTCTACCAAAAAAATTTTAAAACTAGCTGGGCATAGTGGCGTGTGCCTGTAGTCCTAGCAACTTGGGAGGCTGAGGCAGGAAGGTCACTTGTGCCCAGGAGTGGGAGGTTACAAAGTTACAATGAGTTATGATTGTGCCACTGCACTCCAGCCTGGGCGATAGAGCAACAGAGCAAGACTGTATCTCCAAAAATAAAAAAATAAATATACGCATTACATAAAACTATGTAATAAATATCCATTTTAAAAGGCTAGAAGGAAATAATCTAAAATGATAAAAGTGTTGGTTTCTGGTAGTCACATAAGTTTTCTTTTCCATTTCCTTAGTTTTAAATTTTATGTAATGGAGTTATATTATTTTTCTAATGAAAATTTTTAAAATAGCAATTATTTTTCCTCTTATTTGTTCTCCATATGAGTAAATGGCAGTACCATCTACCAGTTATGTAAGCCAGAAACCAGAGTTCTCTTTCTCATTCTTGTTTCCAACTGCCTACAAGGTTGATTCCTCCTGGACATCTTCTAGATACTCCAAAGTCAACATGTTTTTTTTTTTTTTAGTAGAGACGGGGTCTTGCTCTTGCTCAGGCTGGTTTCGAACTCCTGAGCGGAAACGATCCGCCCGCCTCGGCCTCCCAGAGTGCTAAGGATTACAGGCGTGAGCCACCGCGCCCGGCAGAAACTCAACATATCTAATGTTGAATGTTTTACATCTTTCTCCCAAAACTGTTTTTCTTCTATTCTTAATCTTGTCGAATATACCAGTCTACTCAGTCACCCAAGCCAGAAGCCTGGGAGTGATTTGTAAGTCCTTCTCCTGTGCTATTACCCCTATCTAATTTATCACCAAGTTGCCATCCCTGCATGCTACTGCCATCATCTCTCAACAGATTACTACTGCAAGAGTCATCTTCCCAACTGATGCTACTTGTATCCACTCCTGTCCCCCTCCATTCCATTCTCTATAGCCAAAGTGATTTTTCTAAAATGCAGGTCTCATTGTGTTTTCTCCATTGCCTTAAAATATGTCATTGGCTTCTTGTTGCTTTTAAAATAAAGTCCAAAATTCTTGATGAAGCTTAAAAGCCACTTCATAATCTGGGAACCTCATTTCTCTAGACACATTAAATTCTTTTCCCTGAAAAGGCAGCAGTTCTTCCATTCTGGTCCTTTTCACATTTTGTTTCTTCAGCTTGAAATGTTCTTTTCCCTACCTCTTCTGGCTAATTAACGTAGATATTCCTCCCTGAAGGCATATCTAAGGAATAAATAAATATATGATGGGCTGTGGACAATCAACTTGCTGGCAAGTTTGTTACTCTTATTTTTTTTTTGAGACAGAGTCTTGCTCTCTGTAGTCTGTTAAGTGTACAATAGCATTATGTCTAAAAAGCAATGTATATACCTTCATTTAAAAATAGTTTATTGCTAAAACATGTTAAGGATCATCAGAGCCTTCAGCAAGTCATAATCTTTTTGCTGGTGGAGGGTCTTGCCTCAATGTTGATGGCTCCTGACTGACCAGGGTGACAGTCGCTGAAGTTTGGAGTAGCTGTAGCAATTTCATAAAATAAGACAATGATGAAGTTTCCAGTATTAATTGACTCTTCTTTTCATGAAAAGATTTCTTTGTGGCACATGATGCTATTTGATAGCATTTTACAGTAGAACTTCTTCCACAATTGGAGTCAGGCCTCTAAAACTTTGCTGCTGTTTTATCAACTAAGTTTATGTAATATTCTAAATCCTTTCTTGTCATTTCAACAACGTTCACAGCATCTTCAACAGGAGTAGATTCCATCTCAAGAAACCATTTTCTTTGCTCATCCATAAAAAGCAGCTCCTCATCTGTTCCAGTTTTATGAGATTGCAGGAATTCAGTCACATCTTCAGGCTCCACTTCTAGTTCTCTCGCCATTTTTAACCACATCTGCAGTGACTTCTTCCACTGAGATCTTGAACTCCTCAAAGTCATCCATGAGGGTTTGAATCAACTTCTTTCAAACTCCTGTTAATGTCGATATTTTGACTTTGTCCCATGAATCATGAATATTCTTAATGGCATCTAGAATGGTGAATCCTTTCTGGAATGTTTTCAATTTACTTTGCCCAGATCTATCAGAGGAATCACAGTCTATTGCAGCTATAGCCTTACAAAATGTACTTTTTTTTTTTTTTTTGTGAGACAGAGTCTCACTGTGTCGCCCTGGGTAGAGTGCAGTGGCAGCATGGTAGCTCATTGCAGCCTCAAACTCCTGGGCTCAAGTGATCCTCCTGCCTCAGCCTCCCAAGCAGCTGGGACTACAAGCATATGCCACTACACCCAGCTAATTTTTCCATTTTTAGTAGAGATGGGGTCTCACTTTTGCTCAGGCTGATCTCAAACTCCTGAGCTCAAGCAATCCCTCCCGCCTTGGCCTCCCAGAGTGCTAGGATTACAGGTGTGAGCCATTGTACCCAGCCCAAAATGTATTTCTTAAATAATAAGACTTGAAATTCAAAATTACTCCTTGATCTGTGGCTACAGAATGGATGTTATGTTATCAAGCATGAAAACAATATTAATCTCCTTGTATATCTCCATCAGAGGTCTTGTGTAACTAGGTGCATTGTCAATGAACAGTAATATTTTGAAAGGAATCTTTTTTTCTGAGGTGTAGGTCTCAAAAGTGGGCTTCAAATATTCAGTAAACCATGCTGTAAACAAGTGTGCTGTTATTATCTAAGCTTTGTTGTTCCAGTGATAGACTACAGGCAGAATAGATTTAGCATAATTCTTAAGGGCCCTAGGATTTTTGGAATAGTAAATAAGCATTGGCTTCAACTGAAAGTCACCAGCTGCATTAGCCCCTAACAAGAGAGTCATCCTGTCCTTTGAAGCTTTGAAGCCAGGCATTAACTTCTCTAGCCATGAAAGTCCTAGATGGCATCTTCTGATAGAAGGCTATGTCATCTACTTTGAAAATCTGCTGGTTAGGGTAGCCACCTTCATCATTTATCTTAGATAGATCTTCTAGATATTCTCCATTAGCCCTTGCTGCTTTACCTTGCACTTTTATGTTAGGGAGACAGCTTCTTTCCTTAAACCTCATAAACCAACCTTTGCTAGCTTCCAGGTTTTCTCCTGCAGCTTCCTCACCTCTCTCAGCCTTCATAGAATTAAAGAGAGCTAGGGCCTTGCTCTGGCTTAAGGGAATGTTGTGGCTGGTTTGATCTTCTATCCAGACCACTAAAACTATCTCTATATCAGCAATAAGGCTGTTGTGCTTTCTTATCATTCGTGTGCTCATTGGAGTAGCACTTTTAATTTCCTTGGAGAACTTTTCCTTTGCGTTCACTGTTTGGCTAACTGTTTGGCACAAGAGGCCTAGATTTCAGCCTGTCCTGGCTTTTGACATGCCTTCCTCACTAAGCTTAATCATTTCTAGTTT